CTATATATCTATGTGTGTGTGTGTGTGTGTGTGTGTGTGTGTGTGTGTGTGTGTGTGTGTGTGTGTGTGTGTGTGTGTGTGTGTGTGTAGTGTTTAAATATTTAAATAGATTATATATAAATATAACTCATTCGACGTTAAAGTCGACTGATTGAATCTATTTGATGTCTTTTATCGATAATCTTTTCATGGCTGTAATCACGAAATTAGGACCATTGTCGCTCTCCGATCGATGCCGCTTTCGATTGATTCCATCCTTCGAATTTCTTGTTAATTCACGATGTCCAGAGATGAAGGAATCAACCTCCTTTTTTGATCGTCGTGCCTTCCATGCTCGTCGCACTTCTGCTCTGACTTCGCCATTTAGCAGACAATAAAGTAAAGCCACGAAAGCGCCCTAGAAAGGTAAATGAGTGTGTATATAAATTATGTAGAAGAATAGGTCCTTTCATGTCAAAAAGTACCTGGAAGGACGCAAACAGCTGATCGCAAAAGAGCCATACGAGCTCTACTCGGTAATCCTTATGGTAAGATAATCCCAAGAAAAAGGTATAGTGTACTCCAAAGAGTGGCACTAGGACCAGAGTTGATTTAGCCCACCTCCTGAATTGAAAATAAAAAACGAATACGAACATATCTAACGATTATCAAAGGCTTGCGTATTTCATTAAATTTTCTAGTAAAAAATTCTTGCTATGTCATCTTATACATATAACTAAAAAAATAACAAAAATAGCAAAATTAATCCAAAATCGATATAAATTAATATTAAAATTATATGTATATATTAACTTGTATTTCATCTTTTTTCGCTGTAGGTGTACTGAAGTTTTTAGTTTCACAAGCAGGACGCGAACGATGTTGAGAAAGAGCAGGAAATTGAACTGAAAGAAAGGAGTAAGAAGACAGCTTGATTATCCGTATAATTTGAATAGATATTATATTACAAAATCAACGCACCGAAATAGATATGATAATTGGTATTCTTATGATAAGAAACAACGAAGGATTTTCATGAGTGGTCCAACAGAGAGTGTCCTCGATAGTCGCGCGTATTACGATCCATGGCACTACTACCAAGATAGGAAGACCTAATAATTAATATAATTGATGTAATTAAATCCGAGTAAACTGTATAACAAAATTCTAACCATATTATTTCCGATTGCAAATAACGTTAAATAAATTTGTCTATCTTACCCCATCCTAGCAAAATGTACAGAGTTATTGTGCTGGTATCGGTACATAGCGGTAGGAAAACCAGGTTGTGCAAATACAATCCTTCCATTAAAATCCACGAGTAGTTCGCCATGATAAAATATTGCCATAAACTCGTAATAATCTTACAGATCCAACTCTGAAAACGTTGATTAGCAAAGATGAAGATTATCAAATTAAGAAGAAAAAAACAAGATAATTTAAAATAGAGATGCAGATGTAAATATTTTAAAAATAATTAGTTAACGTGATAAGTCCAATTAATTTTGAAAAAATTTATAAGGATAACTTTTACATGTAAATGCAGGAAATTAGAAATAATTTTATAGAAAAAAATTATAACTAAGAGCTACAAATAATATATAATTAATTGTATTGTTGTCTTTACATTACGTTCCCTGATAAAAGCAGCCTTTCCATCAACAAAAACGACATCCCAGGCCAATCCAATGCCGTCTATAAAACTCCAATCCTTAAGGAGTGCCATGAAAGCTCTCATGATGAAGGACGCGAATAGGTGCATGTGCAGTCTATTTCTGGGATTCCGTAGTTTTCTACGATATAAACATATTAGTATAAGTGGAGAACTCTTAACAAAAACAAGATGATAAGTTTGTTCATGCAAAAAAATTCACTTACCTGAGTAAAGAAAAGACCACCATAGCAATGATTAATGTGGCAAACGAAGTAGCATATCCAATTTGCGATACCATTCTGATGATGGGTAGCCATTTCTGTCAAAAGTAAGCAATAATAATGCATTGATGGTCGTATATATTAGCAAATTTTATTTTAATTTAATTCTATTATTTAAATATAATTAGACTAGTGATACAATAATCATACACACAGTGTTATTTTAAAAATTTGACACAACGATTAAATATTTATATGTGTACACAATCAATGTGCAAGATACACGACAATTATTTCTCTCATAAAGAAATATTAAATTAATTATGAAATTATTACAATAAACATTAGCCACAATTAGATAATACTACAGCTTTTTTCAACAAATGGATAAATTTTATTTGTTCTTGGGGTATGCTGAATACATAAAAATACATATTAAATATTGTAAAAATATTGTATTTATTAATTTGATTTCGGCTTAAATTATGATTAATAAATATATTGCCGATCTCAACGATCAACATTCAATAATCAGGATGAAGCTTACGTTTAGCAATGAAAATTCGGCTGGCGCTTCGTACCACCGCGAATAATTCAGCTTCTCGATTCCGTCGATCATGTAACGCGTGCTGTTCAGCACGCACAGACTGTAGTTGCTCCAGAAGATGCCATCTGAATTTTGATACCACTCGCCATTCGCCAAGCAGACCTTGCTGGCCACCGCTAGGGCTCTCAAGTTGTCGCTCGTCAGATTAGAGTATCCCATAATCGAGGCTGGTGGACAGGGCAGGGTGGCTGTTCCTGGTGCCTCGGTATACGACCAGCACAACAGACCGTCGAAGGATGGTGGGCATTGACGAATTTGTGTTCTATTACCTTCGTCAATGACCACTCCCGCTTCGGTGACGCCGCGATATTTCTCCAATCTATCTTCATCAGTGTCTCTGGATAAGCTGATTCCGACGGCCTTCGACATCATGTCGCCAAAGATGGATATACCTAACGTGGGCGTTCTTGTTGGTGGTAATAATGACTGTTTAATTAACTCAAGGAGCACCGTATTGGAATCCGAAAGAACCAGATCGATCGTCTATCATTTTGAAATAAGTTTGAGGGGATTTTTTGGACTCTAAAAATATTAAGAGATTTTTCGCCAGATATGAATTTCCTCTTTTAGAAACTTCATGAAAATTTTAATTTTTTCGAACTAAATGATATTCAATAAATTTTGAAATAAATTTTTAATTTTTTATTAAATGCGACATGTTAAAATAATATTAAATCGAGCACACCTTCTCGAGAAAAATTTTCCTGATCGCATTTACGCTTCTGATCGATTAAAAAACGATCCACTTCAGCTTCTCCCATTCCGACGCTAAGAAAACAAGAAAATAAATCAGTATTGCTTAAAAGTCAGACACTCTTTTACGTTCAATTGGGACAAAATTTTTGCCCCACCATTCATTTCATTCATAATGCAGGACTATAGTATTTATGCATCTTTGCTGCACGCGACGTATCGTACATTATTATTTAAATCAAAGTATATTATTATGTAAATTTAAGTCATGACTTTATTAATGTTCCTGTACTACATAAATTACAGTAAATATCTTTTGAAAAATATTTGTAGATATACAATATTCTTCTTTATATGTTTATACTGTCAATTACTTTTAATATTTTCTCTTTTCTTTGTTTTTTTTTTTTTATAACGCAATTGAATTTTGTCCGCTCATTATAGGAGCTGTTACTCACACCAATCATAAATTACAACTATGTTTTACAAATAGAAATAATTATTTCGAAACAAAGTCATAATAATTTTATATAAAAATAATTTTATAATTTTATGTTAATTTCAACAAAATTGTTCTAATTATTAAATCTTAAATCAATTTAACGATTGGAATAACAAAATTTTATCCAAAAAAACATATAAACAATCGTTATTCATAAGAAAAAATATTCTGTAGCCAAATAAGAGCACAAATTCCATCATCTCATTTATCCAAAAAAAAAATAAAAAAGAACACAAATAAAATTCATCACATATCTTCCTTGTATTTTCAGCATTACTATATATAAATAATATATAAATATTATTTTCAATTTAAATAAAAATAATTTTTTTCGTATTATTGCATTAATAATAAATCTATAAGGAAATAATAAACTAATAATAAATCATAAGAAAATAAATATTTTTTTATAGTCTATTACACCATTAATTCTTCCAAGTAATTTCTTCACTTTTTTAATTAATATATTGTAATGTCTTTATCACTGATGCAACATTTAACATCGATCTCTCACCTTAAATCTTGTTCTGTGGTTACAATTATTTCTTGTTCGAATTATTAGGTACCGTTCGAACAGGTAACTGTATTTTTCTCAGAATGCACCTGCGCGTGTGATCGTGATCGCGAATCATCTGAAACTTTGGCAGAGAATCATCGTCGTAAATCAGACGGCTGCGCATTGTGGCACGTGCACGATTTTCCGCACCCCGGACCTTCCTCTCGTAATGACGCACGTGAAAACAAACTTGAGAGTAAGTACATAAAGCGAATAAAAAATCTCATGTCCGTTGCTAATTAAAGTAAAAAATCTGCAACGTTTAATTTTGATCATTATATGAATACACAGCATTAAGTATATTTCAATTTTTTTATTTAAGAAATATTTATTTAATTAAAAGTTATACATATATATAAAAACTAATATATATATTTTAAATAATAAATTAAATTATTTTATTTCATAAAAGTAAATTTTTGCTACTTGATTCAATAAGTTATTATTGAGTCAAGTTAAAATTATTTATATAAATATATTTTATAATCGAAACGTAAAGTTTCTAAAAGATTAAGCACTAGTTTAATGCAATTTGATAAACTAATTGAGATATTTGTATTGAATAAATGTATTGAAAAAATAAATTTTTTATATATAACATTATATTTCGGTACGAGTATATAACGAAAACTATTTTTAACTTTATTAATATTTAAGAGATATTATACCTAATTAATTATCTTTTATCATCCAAATTTATCAAATTTTGTTATCTTTATAAATTTTTGAATAAATTAATGTTTATCCATTATGTTTCAAATTTGCATTTCTTTTCCACATTTTTATAATGCCTGATATTAGTGACTTCCACCATATTCTTTTCGTTACTCCAACTAATATGATTACTCGATTCTTTCAATTATGTAAATATCGCTCAATATTTATCATGCAATGTATTTGTGGGTATACACTTACCTATAGTAAACGTAATCTATCAAAAATTAATATCTAGAAAATCCTGTCAATCGACTTATGTCAATATTAGCTCAAATTATTACTAAGCTAATAGTTTGAATTTCTAATTGTATGCACAATTTTCTAACTTTCGCATCAGAAACGATATGAAATATGGAAATACTAATGTTATTACGGCTCTATCAAATATAACATAATAATTTTCGAAAATACATTATTTTAGATAAACATTTTCAAATTATTAACGAATATTAATATATTACTGTTAATTAAATTATATAAGAAGTATTGAAATTTCTCTACTCAATGTTTTCATAATTTTTATGGAAAAAATGCTTAATATTTAATATTAATAATAACACAAAACATTGTAAGCGTCATTCACGATACATCAAATATATCAAACCTTCGAAATTTATAAATATTATATATAAAAAATATAACTTTTCGGATATTTTTCTTTATGCTTACGTTTGTCATAAGTATTTTATTCAACGCGCATATTTAACAAGAAAATAGGGCAGTCTTTGTGAGAAATAAAGCAAACGGTTGATGTATTCAAAATTCACTTTATGTTAAATCCGTGTAAGAGTCACGTCATAACAGAGAGATATCTTTCTGCTCGGATCAGTCGCAGAATCGAAACACGCACACACGCATTGCGTCTTATTTACATACATTCATCGTTGCGGACCGAAGAGAGTCGCATAACATAAGTATACGTACCGTAAATATTACCGTTTTAATCGCTGTAAAATTTTTCTTCAACGATAACCGGTCGTAAATTGTTACCATTACATCATAACGTTTACCTCCATATCCATCGATCCCTGTTTCCTTAATCAAGATTAAGACAAACTTGATATAAGAAATAACCGGAGGAGTAATCTGTGCGCATAATTGCAATCTTAAAAATCCTCAATACCTATGTCAATTATCTTGCACTAATGTCATAAGAATATTCAAATAAATTTATGGAATAATTAAATACGCAATTATACTTATTATGCAAAAAATTGTAGTCTACTTTAATTAAAGCAAATCTTTTCTTTCTTTTTCTATCAAGTTTTACTAAATAAGATAATTGTATCCAAATATGGTTTAATTAAATGTTGCCATTTTTTTCTAACTTTTTGCTGAATGTAACATTGAAAACTGGTGATCAAAAAATAGAAAACATTTCTGAACATTAATTAAAAATATGAAATATTTCCAAATATTTACATAAATATAATAAAAATTAAAAAGAAATACCATTAAAAAATTACCATTAAAAAACTATCATTAAAAAATCTATAAATAATAAATAAGCCATATTCAGTGCAATTGTCTTATTTAAATATATTTCTTTGTGTGTATGTGTGTGTGTGTTTTGTGTAAAATCATAATTTAAGATAGGTTAATGTTGGGTATTTAGTATTTTTAACATTATCGCAATTTTATATTTCGTATCTACAAACGCACAAAAGAATTAACTCCTCTTACAGCCATCGATATCGGTAAGTATCGATAAGTACAGATATATTCTAATATCCTTTCTTCTAAACTTGCATTACATTCTTCGCCCCCATCGTTCCTCGTGAGCGATTTGCCTATTTGTCTTTATCTACTTAGTCACCTAAATGTCCATTCATTAATTTACCTAATTACTTAACTATTTGTCTCTATCTACACCTATGTATTATAAATTGTTCCCTACATCATTATGAAATATTTACAAGTTTCCGAGAATCACTCATGTTTTCTAATTCATAGGCCACATTGTACTACAGAGAGTAAGGGGGCGAATTCCATGCGCGCTCATTTCTTAGTTGTTGCATTGTTCAGGCGATCACGCATATTTTGGAATTATTATAATTGGGCGAGTTTTCTCGCGTAAGTTTTATCAATCGAATAGAACTTACGTGAGATGATACGCACATTACCGCTCTATACGCGGGATTCAATTAGAAATCACGTGATGGTGAAATCTCGATGATTTCGTTATCAGGACAAGAATAACATAATACAGCAATGTAAGTTCTTTAAATTTTGAAACAAAATTACTGATTTAAATTATTTTTTATACCAATAAATTATTATGTAATTTAATGTTTATGAATTAATGTTTTATAAATAATAAATATTTGATTGATGAATAATGTAATATTATCAAACTCAATTCTTATTTGAGAATCAAAGTTATTAGTTTCGTTGAAAGATTAAAGTGATTAATCGAAAGATTCTCTTTGAAAAGAGAATGTATATTTCATATACGAAACATCTAACGATGTTACTCCGCCCTGAGTATTTTTGCGTTAATAAATAAAAATTTCGATTAGTATCGCGACAAATTGGCGAATTTTACTGATATCAAACATTCATCATACGATAATCATATATAATAATTTATAATAATCAATCATAAGACACATACTCATCTCAATTCATATCATGCCGTGCACACATACGTACACATACATACATGCATTTCGCGTTATCTATTATTTATACTTTCAGTAATGTAATTTCGGTTAAAAAGCTAAATTACGCGCTACAAAATTGCCTCTGGCTGAGACTTTTCAGTGATAAAGCTAGTCTATAATTGTGATAGCCTCGGTATCCTCGTGGGATCCGAAAGATAACACGATAATAAGTTTTTCGCGCGCGTTAATACCACGTACGAATGCGCTGTCATACTTTCTGTTTCGTTTGCTGAATCGATTAAAGGATCCTCCTCGCTAGGATTGTAATTGAGCCTCGATGAACGAGATAATGTCTCGTCATCTCATAATATTAGGACACGATGCACAATTGTCCCAATTTATTTCAATCACATATCGTCGTAGTATAACATGATTAAATGATTAATACACTATAATAGAAATATCATTCAGAATTCTATCATCATCAAATCGACAAAAATAAGCGATAAAACACATGAAAAGCTCAAATGCGAAATTTTTGTACTTTAACACAATAGAAATTGAAACTGAAAAAGTATTATAAACAGATAACATCGAAATGGACATATTAATTTCGTTGCAATAATTCTCACATCATATATTCCTTTGCCAACAAATTTACTCTCAAAATAGCTATATCATTTAAATTTAAAAGATATACGAAATTTATGATCAATGTATAATTCGAGTGATACTATATGCACCATTGGAGGCAATAAAATTTTTATAGCTCCACCTGATTGCAATCATTCGATTCGTTAAATAGAGGCTTATAAAACTAAGCTTGCGCGAATCTTGATTTCAAACCTCTTCAAAAGGTTTATTTGTCTCATGTGATTAACTGTGCATTCCTTTACGTTAAGTTAATGCGTATTGGTTTAAAGTTGCGATTTACTTCGCTGTCGCTTGTGCAACGCATGTTTGCTACATTCCGCAAAAAGAGAACGTAAATAATAGTATCTCTCTTGGCTATGTAGTGATGTCTTTCATAGAGCGACTCAAAGGATTCGGCATTCGTTTCTCATGAGCAGAAAGAAAAACCGTTAGTTAATTTATCGAGCAGGAACGATTGTCAGTTTCGTCGACAAAATGTGTATCGTCGAAAGATTCCACAGATCACGGATACGCGATATCATTACGCGTCGAACGAGATCAATTTCGACTACCGGCAGAACTTGCGGCTGACGTCGCCGCTTCTTATGGAGCCCCATTTTTATAGAGAACTCTGATTTATCAGCATCGCAAGTACAATATTTATGGAACGGCTGCTGAATAGTTCGCGAATTTCTAACGATCGGTCAAAGACATTTTCCAGGATTCTGAGAACACCAATGCGGCCACATAGACTCTGTCTTGATGCCTCTACTATTCAAAACTTCAATGTGCATGGCCAGTCTGGTGTAAACATTCTCGTCCGTAGAGTAACTGTTTGTTGGCAGATCGCTCCTGAAAAAATTCCTTATAAATATTCTTCTTAAAAAGAAAAATCATTTTGCTAAAAACATCTTTATTATATTATGTCGTTTACCATAATCGTTCAGCGAGTGCCGATGCTCTGGGCCATAGTCGAGGTCCCAGAGATGACTGTCCAGTCTGCTCGCTCCAGATTGCCGCTTCACCTCCAAGCACTAAAGGCAGCTGTTGTGGCGGATAATCTTTCCATGGACGATGATTGTAGACAGTTTGCCAAGTACGATATTCGCCACACGCTGCTTCGCCGCTTTCTCGCCATCTGCCGAAACCGCAATCTAGATACCACGCATCTACATGTGAGAGGATTACCCGAAAGCCATCCTCCAACAGATCCGGTGTTTCCGGCCAGTTGCTCCCACCCCAAGATTGGATCACGTGGATCTTTGGATCGAAATACATCATAATGTACGGCCTCTTAGTTAACGGTGAGCTCCATAGAATCACCGCCTTCGGCACTTTATCATGATTTGCTCGGATTAATCGCTGCAGCATCTTCGTCTCGAATTCTGCCCAAAGTGCATGATGATCCGTCATGTTTTGCGCCTGCATAGCCATGGTGATGTTGCCGTATTGCGCCCAGCATTCGAGATTCACCTCATCACCGCCGAGATGTACTAAATCGCGTATTTCGGTAAGATCTAATAATTCCCGATACAAACCCTCAAGTATCCGATAGGAGTGTTCGTTTATGGGATTCAATTGGCCGCAATTCGGCTCGCCGCAATATGACGACCATGGTTGTTGATCGACGCACAACGCCAACTCGCCAAAACCATGTTCTGCACCTAATTATTATATATTGAGAAAATGTTAATTGAATTATGCTATTAATACTGCAAAACTTGGAATTAATTATGACAATGTCAACCCATCATTATCATAATTTCAAATCACCATTATAAAACTTATTTTTTAAGCGTATCTCGTACCGTTATATAATATATAATTGTGTATTTTAATTGTGTAATTTTATATCTCACAATAATATATATTTAATAATATATATTTTTTCAGTGATACATCTACACCACATTTAAGATTTAAGATATCTACAATTCTCATTCTATCTTAATTCTCAGATATTCAACAAAACTCACCCCATTGCCATCCGGCGCCCGCATGAGCCGGGGAATCAATCTCGATGACAATCCTAACGCCGCGTATTCTCGCATAATCAGCCAGATCCTTCACGTCATCAGGTGTATAAATGTGGTCGCCACTGTAAGCACCCCATCTTGCCATCTCCGGAAATTGTGCCGAGTCGAAAGGGAAACTTTGGGAATCAGTGAGATGCCAATGGAGAGTATTAAGCTTTGTGGTCGCCATGCCGTCGATAACCCTCTTCAACTCCTCAACGGGAAAGAATTGTCGGCCAGTATCGACAAGGAGTCCGCGATAAGAGAATGCAGGTTTGTCCTCAACGGAGGCTCGCGTGAGGATACGAAGAGCGCCTTGCTTGCCGGCAGCTTCGTCCCACCAGATCAACTGGCTAAGTGTTTCCAGGCCATGTCGTACCCCGAAATAACTCCTCCCCGTGATTCTGGCCTCGAGAATTTTCCCCTTTGGTACGAGCTCCAGCTTGTACGACTCGTCAGTGTCTAATGTTAAACTGGCATCCCCATTGCCAGCGCTCAGGTACACGATGAACGAGTCGATTCCGGATCGGCTCTTGGCATTCAACACCTTCACCAAACTCCTGATGTTCCCTGAAAATAAATGATTCACGTAGGAGAAAACAATGATTGATCATCAACTTGGCTACATGAAGCAAAGTGAATAATTATTTAGAATGTGCGAATTTCAATGATTTCCTATTTTATATTAAATAAATAATTAAGTATAATAAATAGAAGTTATGATTTTTGTGCACACAAGTTATGATTTTTGTAACTTTAATATACAACATAAAATGCATGTGATCTTAAATGTGGTATGTGCTTCGGTATATGTGATGGCATATTTGTTAATGTGAGAAATTAATTAGCATTATTAGCTGAGAATATTTCAGAAAATTAAGAAAAATCTTTGTCCTGCACTTTCTATAATAATTGATGCAAGAGAGCTATAGTAAAATGTCTTGAATGTGTTAAGTGGTGATTTAGTATTCTTTCTTTTTCCTCGTGCTTCTGAACACTCACCGATGAAGACATCCTTAGCATGCTCCAGCAGATCTTTCGTCTCCTGGTCGCTCGTATTCACGATGACGAACTCGATCTGCTGAAGATGCAGGATAACACTGTCATCGCCGAGGACGATGTTTTCGGTAGGTCTGGGCCACAAGAGGCGAGTGTTTCCTCCGCAATGCGCGGTACAAGTTGCCAAAGATGTCCTTGAGGACCTTACCGCTCGCCTCTCGCATCGATTTGCCACACATGCCCAGGACCATGGACTTTGAAATGTCCTGCGATCGTGAAAATCGAGTTTGTATCTCGACTCTTAATCCGACAATGCCGTGATACGACAAAAAAGAAATAATTTGTTTTTTTTTACATATACTTTACAAAATATACATGTATCTTAAATATATACAATAATTTGTCGTACCACTTGATTACCAAGCAATCAAGTTTTTTTCTTTAAGCGATTCAATTTGCAACAGATATTTGATTTGTGATACTCGATTTGAAATGAAAGAGTTAAAAATGATAGATACGCGGAGAGACAACATGCAGTAAACAATTTTATTCCAGAATTTTATTTTGCAGAATCAAAATGAAATGGTTGAAAAGTGTAATTAGTAATAATCTTTTTAAACATTATTTTAACATCTCTCTTTAATTTCTCTTTAAACATATTTACGTAAATATGTTACAATCATATATAATTAACTTTAAAGTAATAAAAAAATCACATTTAAAAAATTGATTTCGTAATGGTCGAGTTACAGGAAACACCCTGAATATCATATTTAAATTAAACTGTTGCTTTAATAATAGCGATTTGCGCAGCATTTGAACACAAAAAAGAAAACAAGAAAACGAAATATAAATAAAATTACAAAATTAACATAAATAATTAACTGTAGGAAAAAATGACACAAAACATTAAATATCACTTTTCTGTAGACTATTTCATGTGCGAACACAGACACATCTTTTATCTGAATAAAAAAATAAATATTTAAAAGAATCATTAACTGAATATTCTCTAATAAATTAAAATTATTATTTTATTATAAGATTGCAAATTAGGTCAACATATAATTAATATTAGCAATTATAATAGCATAATAGCATAATTAGCAACTGTAATAATATAAGCAAGTAAGCAACTTCATACATTAAGCGACAATCCTCCCATTTTGACAGAAGGAAAGATCAGATCTACCTTGCGCGACTCGTTCTCTATGTCGGTCAAGCTGATAATATCGTACTTCTGGCAAATAAAAAGCTGCTCATTACGACAAGAGAAATGAGAGTGCAAAAAGCGATATCGTCGGCATCGTCCGAATTAGAAAAGCGAGGGAAGAAGAAAGAGGCGATGTTTGCGGAACATGGAAGCGTCCAAGAAAATAGCTGGCTAATCAATGAAACTGGACAACAACGTCTACCCAAAATAGAAGAACGAAAAAATAAACGAGTGCCTCAATAAAAAGCATTGAAAAATGAGTACTTCGATGAGATTTGAAAACTGGAAATAAAGTAACAAATATTTACACAGTTTCATGTGACATAGTAAACTAATTACAGAGGATCGCTCGTAAAAATTTGTTTTACCGATGGAGATGAAAGGTCTATATTGGTTTCTCTAAAAAGTTTCTTTTCTCCTGACTTCTTGCGAGCTCACAGACTCGAGTTTGCGTTGCCTCCAAAGGCAAAGGCGAGTCCCGCTCTCGAAATGGAGGGTCGGGAAAGTCGGGTTCGCGTGAAGCGGGTCAGGACAAGGAGTGCAGCAACCGTACGATCCGCACGACGGGAAGACAATGGTGCGTAACTATAGCGGGCGCAGGCGTGCGTTTAGTGTGACGGGCGTGCTCGGGCGAGTGGATTAAACGTGCGAGCGTCAGAATGAGGTGCGACGTCGCGAGAAGAGGCGTGAGGCGCGAGCCACGAACCGGAGAACATGCACGGGAGTTCCCACGCGGAAATTCAAGACATTCGGGGAATTTGTTCACCAGGCAATCAACGTGTTGCGGATCACGCTTGGATAATCTTTTGGAATTGGAAGAGCGATGTCCGATTGTGATACCAGACAGCACGAACTTGGTTCCAGAAGAAAAAAAAAAAATAAAGACAGGTGAAACGGGATATTATTGGACGCGGTTTAAACTTAGCTTATCAGAAACAAGTCTGAACAGCTCGATACATGAAATGTTCGATATGATGAAATTTTTATAGACACTAATTACAAAATCAAAAATCTTACGTGAAAATCCATAAAGTGAAATCCTTAATAATAGACGATAAAACTATAGGTCACTATAGATTTCGTTTTGCAAAAATTCTGAAAAAGATTGAAATTTCTCTCTAAAATAAAATCATATAGTTTTATTTTTGTATAATTTAAAACTCGAGAGAGAATGCGCACTTCTTTCTGTGAAATTTTAAATCTTCATTTTTTTTTTTAGTAACAATTTAGAACAGATGATTGCCATACTGCAACATCATGAAAATAGAGAGGGGTTGTTCGAAAATATTCTTTTCCCAAACCACAAACCACATGAACAAAGGGAACAAATCGATGCGGGTTCTGGATGGAAGGCATCAAAGATACGCGATATTTTCATTTAGCAGAGATTTAAGATTCCACCCCTTGGTCAGGGGCTATCCGTTACCTAGGCTCTTCCAGATACTCGTAGAGCCGTTCCTCGGGCCCGATTGTGGTTTCATTACCCACCAGGTAATTAACCAAGCCGCGCTGCAAGTCCTCTAGTCTTCTTCGATTCATCGCGTTGTGAGTGCGAAATAAATTCAAAATAAAAAACAAAAAAAAGACATGCAGTGTAAGAAAATCATCAGGAGGCGCTGGGTTAATACGAACTGCGCTGGTTATGTTAACAGAAATCACAGAAATATAATAGAAATTAAAAAAAGAACAAAAAAGCGATTTTGCGCTTCGCAATTGCTTTACAATTTTTTAACTTTTGAGATATATTTTGCCTCGTAAAAGAATTCTATGTTCTTAAGGTCAGAAAACACGAAAACACGATATTAGAACGATATCTAAAATAACCGCTTTTTAAATTAAGCATACGTTAGACAATGCAATTCTACTCAGTTAAAAAATTTGTTTTACGAATGCTCAATAGAGCCATTTATGGTGTTTTACTTGTCAAACCGTCAGTTTAAAAGGAGAAGAAATGATGCAGCGCGATGAAGAATTACTTACCGTCGCGTCGCAAACGGCTGCAGCGATGCGAGCGGTGGAGCGTGGGCGTACATGGCAATCAGCAGAACACCGGTCATCAGGACGAGGAAGAGGAGGACCCTCCTCATCCATCCGCTGGGCATGCTACCCACCATTCTGACGAGTCTGCAAATAAAAGAGAAAAATAAAAATCAGCGCGGACATGATTGCGGAAAATTGTGTCAATAGGAACGACGATAACGATGTCGCATCGTAGAGATTCGTTTACCGCTCACGTGGAACCGGATTCCATGAGCCGTCAAGCGGGATTAGCGCGATAAATCCTCTCATATCCTCCGCATATATTCTCTGGTGTACACGGTATTACCTTCATTTTACCCGTGTCAAATGCGATCGTTCAAAATCTAGCCTACGAAAGGGCTCGGAAACGGGGATAAAAGTTGTCCGATGTTAAATGTAAGCCGTAGGTGCACGCGTCCTTACCTCCATCGGAGATCGTGTCTTTTACATTTTATCTGTCGGCACTTCCTTCTTTCAATGTGACACGAAGATAAGGCGGTCGCATTTACTGCTAAACGCGCAACAAGACGTGCGTTCGTACCGCGGGATCTCCAGACGGTGACACGCGAGAGATAAGGCGTGATTTACGTGGAAAGCATGCCTGCATAAAGACACATATATATCTTGAGATTAGACAGTGGGCGACCGAAAGGAAACGCTTCCCGCGTACTTCCGGTGATTCTCCTGGCGCAAGAGAAACACATTGTTCCTTCTTTCTTTTTCTTTCTTCTGTCCTCCTCCTCCTCTTTTAGCGGTTCGACAGAGAACGAGGAGAAAGTGTTTTCCGGAATGTAAATGCACGCGCATAAAAGCGCTTGCTCTTCCGTTTTACGATCCCACGAGGATTTATGGACCTTTGCCAGGCGTCACCTATCCCGATATTACGTAACATTTCCGAGCAAGTCTTCATCTTTCGCGATCCGCGATCTGTCGAGATGCATCCGATGTTACGGTTCGGTTTATCGCAAATGTAAATACCGCGAGGAAATTTGCATGGACGCCAAGTACCTCGCGGCATATCCGACGATCGATCGAATTAAACAGATCCATTATTAATATGGATTTTAGATGACGTTTGTGAACAAGATTGACATTTACATATTTTCATTAACTATGTAATAAATACGATGAATTAAACAATAGTGCGTAATTTAATAAATTATTAATTCTTATTGATGATCAAGAGAATCAGTCATTTATGTATTATATATTTCTGTATATTTCTCCTTATGCGCAATTTCATGTTATTAAAAAAAAAGATCAATTGGCGACTACTATGTTCTTTTAGGTGACTAAATGCTTGTCTCAACCTCGTTCTTCGTCACGTCGTAAAGAGGAACAACGTCAGAGAAGTGTCGTTACTTATCGCAGCTAGTCTAAGGGCCACCTGTCGAATCGCACAGAAATACACCTTGGACGCCTAGGCGAGATCTAAGCTTAGCTTGTTCGTCTCTCGAAATGTTCCGCGGTCTAGACGGTCCTGCGTTCTGATTACTACGCAAACAACACTTGGCATCTCTCGACGCTTAACTCCGAGAATAGGCACTTTGGGTTTCGATCCCTCGCTGTCCTCGAAATGAATCATAATATCCCATGCTAATTTATTCCGCCGTAATCAAGACTATAACGTCGAGTTATGACAGCTGTGGGAAAAGCAATGCCGACATCAACATTTTCGTGCTATTTTTCATTCCTCCTCGTGCATACCCGACGTGTTTTGCATTTAGGCAGCTGTAATGACATTCATGCACGAAGTCAAGACGGTTACGCGAAATAGAACAGTGCATAATCCGAAAAAATCGATTCTAGGCAGTGGCGGATTATTTGATATCAAACAAGAATTCTGGGGATTCGAGGAATTAGACAAACAGTTCGTATACGAAAGAAGAAATGATAGTCCTGGTTATATCTCTCTCTCTCTCTCTCTCTCCTCTATAATTTTAATATTTACACAGAATAATTTGGTATCATAAATAATTAAATACTAAAGAACAAAAGCAAATATTAAATAGATTTCTAGAATAGAAACAAAAAATAAAAAATCAAGAATATATGATATAAACTTTTTTTATGTAAAATATTATTCAATAAAGAAAAATTATATTAATGATTATTGCCGCCGTTCATAAAATAATGAAAATGATATTATAATATTTAATTCTACATTTCGTTAGGCTACACACGACGCTTGGTTATTGATGATTTAAGAACTGTGTCAACAAAGTGTAATTATAATTTTCTGCAATTCAATTTTTTTTCTCGTGTTACAGAATTCGCTTTCTGCAAATAGACTTGATTGATAATGCAAAGAACTTAAACAACGCACGCAGACCTATCAATTTCCATATCAAGAAGCCAATTTCGCAAAGATCCGATTGAACTTTGCACGGCACCTTGCTTAGATGAAATACTATACCGTCGTGATACCTATGTGACGACATGGGGTTGCGACGAGAGACTGGTGATCCGACACCACACCACACCATATCACACCACACCGCACCGCACCGCACCGCACCGCACCGAATCACGTTTCACGCAGCCAGCTGACCGAAATTCACCCTCGCGCGATTACGCGAACGGGTGATTTAACGTTACCGCCGCGCCGGTACAAAGGTAATGTAGAGTCTTCCTTCTCTTTCTCTCCCCGTGAAGCACCGAGGATAGTAGTAGAAGAAGGAGAAGCGACGACTAGGGTGGGTATGGGTCGAAAGAGGGTGGGTCGAGGGAGCGTGACGCGACGAAGTCGACGAGGATGGTGGGAGCGACGTCGGCGGCGGCGGCGGCGGCGGCGTCGTCGTCGTCGTTGTGTTGCTCGTGCCTCCAGCACACGTGAACTATACCTAAATGCCGTGCCTGACCGCGAGTCGCGTGGCGTAGCCAAGCAACGCGCGTGCCATGACCGCCGCCGCCGATAGTCTCCGGCGAAACGGTACTAAGGACGGACCGGGGAGATTCGTCGAACGCGCGAAGAGCGGGATCGTCGTCGACGTCGTCGCTTCCCCGTGCGCGACGTCGTCCACCCTCGCCGTCGCGATTGTCCCTGGACGGAAAGAAGGGCGAACGGATAGACGGACGGACGGATGGACGGGCAGGCCGACACTGGCCAGGATTGTCATCGATCGCCAGGAGAAACGATATCGCGAGTGCTCGGCGAACGAGCGCGCGATCGACCGGACCCCGTTGTTGTACACTGAGAAACAGGTCGGTCTCACTTGGCAAATTGACACCTGCCATGGTATCAACGAGGTATCAAATGGAATTGAAGGGCGCGGTGTTGTAGCTAAAAGCGGGGCGAATTTCGTCCATCGGAAAAAACTTGAAAAAATTAATTTCGATTTCAAGCCTCAATTTTGGACGGATTATAAAGGAATGATTTGAAGCGATTTCGATGAAGCATCGCGCTCTTTAATTAACCAAAATCATTTTTGTTGCCTTTTTTTGGCAAACAGATGAATTTAAAAATTTATTGCCTAATGTAACAATATGTTAAATTGTATATACTTTATGCTAGATTCGATTTGTTTATCAGACAGAAATAATTTGATTTATTTTGTAAGATAATTTTTGTACGTTGAGAAATAAGCGTGTTAAAGGAAAATTAAGAAATATGCGATCAGGATTGATAGGAGCGTTTCATGAGCGCAGAAAGATATCTAATTTTAAAACAAGCTTCGAATTAGCAATGCGATTAGATAACGAAACTGAAGAATACTCAGATAAAATCAAGGGGGCGCTTTTCACCGTCACTCCGAATACCCTTACGTGAAACCCACAAAGGTCACATTTTGCACGCTTAAAGCACCGCTATTAATATTCGGAAAACGAAGAACAACCTTGATATCGCTACCCGATTTAATTTAATTACATTTTAAGCGAATGTAAACAATTTCTCAAACGCGTGTCTCACTTTAATTCGCATCCAACAAGATCGCCGACGGCGTTTATCGATAGTAACAACAACTGATATCCGATCGTCTCATTAACGATTCCTACGTAAGTTTGCTGCTCCCACCTCCCACGTTAATTACGAGCGGACAAAGCAGGATCGGGATACTCGCGTAATATACACACCTTGCTTTCCACCTCGCCATACTGACGACAAATATACCAGGAACAATTATTATCCAACTACTATCGCAAACATGATATCGCGGGGTAATAGTCACCTAGGTCGCTCGCGCACATACACACTGACGTCCATATCTCCGCTACCACCACGAGAATCTTAAATTATTTCCTCGCAAACGTGACACACGCCGGCCATCGACGACCATCACGGAAGTAGAATTACAAAATGATATGCTGTCGCACGTTTTACGGCGAGTCATCAGGCCTCAAGGATCCTCATGCGGGTCTCAAGGATGTGCATATTAATAAACGTCGCGACATTCCCGGTCACGGCGGTACAAATTTTTTGATATATATATATATATATATATATATATATACATAATAATATACGTATTATCTATCTAGTACTTAAGTAAAGTAACG